CTCCTGGTCTCCCATGTGAGTGCAGGGACCCAAGCACTTGGGCCATCCTCCGCTGCCCTCATGGGCCACAGCAGAGAGCTGGACTGGAAGAGGAGCAACTGGGACTAGTACCTGGCACCCCAACCAGGGCTAGAACCGGGGTGCCGACGCCGCAGGCGGAGGATTAGCCAAGTGAGCCATGGCACCGGCCCTCCATTCAGTTCTTAAAATGTGAATGAAGACATTTGTAAAAGTTTATTTTTATTTATTTGAAATGAAGAATATCAGAGAGAGAATGGGAAGAGAGGGAGAGATTGGTCTTCCATCTGCTAGCTCACTCTCCAATAACCACAACAGCTGGGGCTGGGCTGGACTGAAGTCAGGAGCCTAGAACTCCATCTGGGTCTTCCACATGGGTGGCAAGGATCCAAGTACTTAAACCATCATCTCCTACCTCCCAGGGTGATAATTGCAGGAAGCTGGATAGGAAACACAACAGGGACTTAAACCCAGGCACTCTGATATGGGATGTGGGCGTCCCAAGCAGTATCTTAACCATCTTTATTGAGGTATAATATTCTTATTCAAATTTACACTTTTATAATTTTTTAATAACGCATTTAACCCTTTAATCAAGATATGGAACTTTTTTTTTTTTGACAGGCAGAGTGGACAGTGAGAGAGAAAGGTCTTCCTTTGCCGTTGGTTCACCCTCCAATGTCCACCGCGGCCGGCACGCTGCAGCTGGTGCACCGCGCTGATCAGGAGCCAGGAGCCAGGAGCTTCTCCTGGTCTCCCATGGGGTGCAGGGCCCAAGCACTTGGGCCATCCTCCACAGCACTCCTGGGCCATAGCAGAGAGCTGGCCTGGAAGAGGGGCAACCGGGACAGAATCCGGTGCCCCGACCGGGACTAGAACCCGGTGTGCCAGCGCTGCAAGGCGGAAGATTAGCCTAGTGAGCCGTGGCGCTGGCAATATGGAACATTTTAACACCCCACAAAGTGTCCTCTTACTCCTTTGCCATGAATCTCCTATCCTATCTCAGTCCTAGGCAACCAGGAGGCTTTTTCTCACTACAGATTTGTCTACTCTGTTTTAGAATGTATACAGATGGCATTGTATGGTTCGTATTCTTTTGTGATTGTTTCCCAGCATGTTTTTGAGATTCATACATGTGTTTCAGTTCATTTATTTTTATTGTTGAATAGTATTACACTGGATGAACACACCACAATTTGTTTATCTGCTCACCTATTGATGGATATATAGATTATTTCTAGGCTTGAGCTGTTAACAATTAAACTTGGGGCTGGTGCTGTGGTGTAGCAGGTAAAGTTGCTGCCTGCAGTGCCAGCATCTCATGTGTGGACGCTAGTTTAGTCCCAGCTGATCCACTTCTGACTCAGATCCCTACTGATGCGCCTGGTAATGTGGTGAAGGATGGTCCAGGTCTTTGGACCCCTGCACCCACATGGGAGACCCTGGGGGAAGCTCTGAGCTCCTGGCTTCAGATTGGCTTAGCTGCAGCTGTTGTGGCCATTTGGGAGTGAACCAGTGGATAGGGGATCTCTCTAACTCTACCCTTTCAAACAAGTGAATGAATCTTTTTTTAATTTTTAATATTTTTTTACTTGAGAGTCAGAGTTACACAGAGAGGAGAGGCAGAGAGAGAGAGGAGAGAGGAGAGAGAGAGGTCTTCCATTTGATGGTTCACTCCCCAGATGGCTACAACAGCCAGAGCTGCACCAACTTGAAGTCAGGAGCTTCTTCTGGGTCTCCCATGTGGGTACAGGGGCCTAAGGACTTGGACCATCTTCTACTGCTTTCCCAGGCCACAGCAGAGCTGGATCGGAAGTGAAGCAGCCAGACTAGAACCGGCACCCACATGGGATGCTGAAGCTTCAGGTCAGGGCATTAACCCACTGCACCACAGCGCCGGCCCCGAATGAATCTATTTTTAAAAATAAATTAAACTTCTTGGCTGGTGCCATGGCTCACTTGGCTAATCCTCCACCTGTGGCACCGGATTCTGGGTTCTAATCCCGGTTGCTCCTCTTCCAGTCCAGCTCTCTGCTGTGGCCCAGGAAGGCAGTGGAGGATGGCCCAAGTGCTTGGGCCCTGCACCCGCATGGGAGACCAGGAGGAAGCACCTGGCTCCTGGCTTTGGATCAGCACAGCGTGCCGGCCATAGCAGCCATTTTGGGGGTAAACCAACAGAAGGAAGACCTTTCTCTCTCACTGTCTAACTCTGCCTGTAAAAAAAAAAAAAATTAAACTTCTTGAAACTTTTTTTGTCTTTGTGTTGTATGTATGTGTGCTATGTATGTGTGTATTGGATGTGTTTTTATTTCACATGGGCAAATATTTGGGAGAATTGCTGGGTCATATAAGAAATCACAAAAAGTCAGCAGTCCTTCTTAACCTTATAAATATCATTATGCATGTCCATTAAAGGACATTTTGGGTTTCCTCCAAAGAGCTAAAGGATAGAGGGAAATTATTTTTATAAAGATTGATTTACTAATTTGAAAGGCAAGGTGAGAGAGAGAATATGAGAGAATGAATATTCCCTCTGCTGTTGAGAGAAAAATCTTCCATCTGATATTTCACTCACCAAATGGCTGCAATGGCCAAGCCAAAGCCAGGAGCCTGGAACTCGATCTGGATCTTCAACAAAGGTGACAAGGACCCAAATACTTGGGTCATCATCTGCTGCTTTCTCAGGTGCATTAGTAGGGAGGTGGATAAGAAGCAGAGCAGCCAGGACTCAAATTGGCCCTCCAGTATAGAATGTGGGCATTGAAAGCAGCAGCTTAACCTGCTGTACCAAGTGCCAACACCAGTAAAAGCTTTATGAGAAAAAAAATCTCAGGAACATTAAATACTTTTGAGGTATATGCTTTTCCTACCTCAATTTAAAAAAAAAATAGGGAAGGGATTAGGGAATTTTAAGAGGAGAGGAACTGAAAAGGAAAGCAGAATGATGTAAAATAATAATAAAAAAGACTTTTAGACAATGGCACGATCATCCTACACAGCTGCTCTGAAATCCCAGCACTGCTGACAGCCACCTTCTGGCAAAGCTGCTTTGTCAAAGGGATGCAATAGGATCCATATTGATTTCATGAAGGAATATATTAATGTAAGCAAACACGCCTCTCATTTATAGTTACATAGAGGTGTGGGATTTTTCTTTTACTCCTAGAAGTAATGTTTCCCCAACATATATCACTTCTCTTTGATATGAAGGTTGAGTCATAAATTAATGTCACAAATAAATGTCATGTAGAGGGAGGCAACTACATTACAAAGTAGGAAGGTGTAGCTTGATACGAATTGTTACAGTTGACAGCTCTGTTCGATTGCACTAAATGTCATCATGTCATTGGAATGTAAAATTGTGGACATTTAAGTTTGCAACCTAAAAGTTTTGTCAATCTTTTCTAGTCATTCTGAAATGGAAATGATCAGGTGGATTGAAAACAAAGGCAAATGAGTTTAAAGGCTTTTTTGGCATCTCAGAGAAGTTGCTTTACACTGGTGATGTTTTAAACAAAACATTAGCATGTCTGGAAACAAACTTCCTGGGTCTTTCCATTTACCCCTGAGGAAGAGTTATAGAGAACTAAAATGCATTACTCACTATATACTTTGTATCATGTATTATTTAATCTCAAGCTAGGCAAGAGCATTGGAACTCTGTCTTACATGATGCCATAATGTACATTAGTGAGCTCAACCCACTTAATCTTAAAATAACAGTATCAGGTCAGGGATTTAGAATACAGTATTATATGAAAACAGTTGGCAGGGAGACTCCCTCTTCTGCCAGTAATAACTGACAGGAAATGGTATTTCAGACCCTAAATCCTACTGAAATCCAGACACAATAAATGGAGAATTTGGGGTGAATAGTTTGTTAGAACATGTTTTTCAAAGTAGAGAAAGAATCACCAGGCTCTTGCTGAATTATATGTTGCCATGGACATGGCAGTATGCAATAATGATGCTATCATCTGTACAGCTGTATAAAAACATAGTGTCTCTCTCCCATCCCCCTAAGGCATGAAAATAATAGGTTTGTGTGTAGTTTGGTAAGAAAATTAGAATCATTTAGTCGTTTCAGTTTCAATCTAAGAGAGAGATGGGGAGTGGAGAGGAATAGCAAACAAACTGGAAAAAAAATACATACTATGTAGTAAAGCATAAAACACATTTTGTAGAAACTAAAGAGGGGTATCTTTGGTGTACTAGAAAACTGAGTGAAATCCACCAAAATGGATGACTTCAGAGAAAAGACTTGTATTAAGTCCTATCACTTGTGTGTGACCTTGAGCAAAGGCACCAGGTCTTTAAGCCTGGATTTCCTAACCCATATAATAGAATCAATAATGGCAATGTCCTGTACCTCCAGGGCTATGACAAGGATTAAAAGAGTGAAAACACCTTGTATACTTCAAAGTCCTGTACAAAGGTGTTCTGTAGACTAGATTTTCCGAGACAGGAGTTGAGGAAAAAGTCTAAAAAGACTTGAGGCTGAGGAGTTGGGTTCAAATTCCAATACATAGCTAGAAGTTTTGAGACCTCAACGCAAGTAAAATACTATCTCACCTTTCAGTTTCCTCTTTTAAAGAGGAATATGCTACATCACAAAATCGAATGAGAACCTACACCTGCGGGGTGTTTGAGGCCTCCTCCCTGGAACTGCTCTTTCAATGAATGTCATTAACAAAAGCTGTTCACAATGTAGGATCTTTGGTTCAAGGTATGCCAAGGTAAAAGAGGATCATAGGGAATAAATGGATAAATGCAGTCGAAGTGGGAACCAACAGACTTGGAGCTGAGTCCCTTCTTAAGCACGTGAGGCTGGAGTATCCCTCCAATAAAGATATTCGGAGTTGGACGCCAGGCAAGTCCGGTGCCCTCTCGACTCTACTACGGACTCGACGAGAGGGACCCTGAAATTCTTCATTAGAACAGGTTGCTATGGCGACAGTCTCCAGGCAGCGTGGGCTGAGCTCGCGGTAGGGATAGAGGGTGGGCCGCCGCTGGACCCTGTGCGCGTGCCCGCCACCAACTTTCCCTCCAGACCCGAGGGGCGGCGCGCTCCGCCCCCGCCCCTGGGCCGCGCACGTCGGCGTTCGGTGGCGCGCACGCCTGCGGGAGCCCTCTCCAGGCAACCTAGTGCTGATCGCTCGTGCCGGTGCGGCCGTTAACCGCCCTAGCGGGAGCCCGAACCTCAAAAGCAGCCCCCTCCCCTCTCTGGGCTTCCCCCGACCCCCTTCCCGGTCGGCCCCGGGGCATGAGCAGCGATGGCTGGCTGCAGCCCTGAGGAGAAAACTTACCGGCGTTTTCTGGAGCTATTCCTGGGCGAGTTTCGCGGACCGTGCGGCGGCGGCGAGCCGGAGCCGGAACCTGAACCCGAGTCGGAGCCGGAGCCTGAACTGGTAGCCGCTGAGGCGGCCGAAGCTTTGGTCGAGGAACCGGGGGAAGAGGCGGCCGCGGTAGCCGCGACGGAGGAGGGGGAACCGGAGCAAGACCCAGAGCCTGAGGAGGAGGCAGTGGAGGAAGAGGCGGCGGCGGCGGGTGAAGGCGAGGAAGAGGAGGAGGCGGCGGCAGCCGCGGCCCCGGGGCACTCGGCCGTGCGGCCGCCGCCGCAGCCCCAGCTGCCGCCGCTGCCCCCGCTGCCGCGGCAGCTGTCTGAGCGCATCACCCGCGAGGAGGTGGAGGGCGAGAGCCTGGACCTGTGCCTGCAGCAGCTCTACAAATAGTTAAGTAGCGGGGCTCGGCTGGGGGTGGGCCCGCTGTCCTCGACGCGCCGGCCTCGGAAGAGGCTCTCCCTGTCCCCACACCCCCCACTCCTCTCTCATCTACTCCTCACCCCCGCACCCCGCCGCTGAACGCAGCCCGGCTGCTCGGGCTCGGCCGGTGGGCTGCGGGCTGCCCACGCCCGCCGCGGCCCCCGCGCCGACTGCCGCCTCGGAGCCGCTCTCCGGCTGGCTCGGGCCCTTCTTGCCCCTTCCCCTCGGCCGCGCACTGCTCATTCCACTTCACACTCCCCTTCTGCCTCGGAAAATCCTTCCTCCCGCCTGGCCCCGAGTTTTTTCTTCTGGCCAGCTCGCCTCTGCTCCGGCAGGTTGCCTCCCAGCCCAGGCTGTGCGTTCGCGGACTGGGCTCCCTGTTGTCTGGCGGAGAGGTGCCTCCTGCGTAACGGCCGCGGCGGGCACAGAAACCCCGGCCCGGCGTCCTGGAGAGGGGACGCCCGAGTCGGTGTTCCGTTAGGCGCTCCGTGTTGGAAGTGAGGCGCTCTTCGGGAACCCGGTCTTTTAAAGACATTTAACAAGCCGTTACTGACGGAGGTGGGAAAGGATTGATTGAGAGGAGTAAGCAGAATTTTACAAGTGAGCCTTCAGGTGAGAGCCATAATTCATTAAAGTGGAAAAGTCAGGCTGCTTTGATAAAATTGCAATTAGGTACAGTATTTTCAGTCCATTAAGTAGAAGGGGGGGGGGGGGCGTAGCAGATGGCTTAGCCACACAGATGAAAGTCTAAAATAGAAAGGTCAAGGCTTTGCCTTTCATCCCAGTTCTGGTTTTTATAGACTTGAAATAGATGCAGTTTACAATTGGTGTTTCTTTCCAAATGGAATTGTTCTGAAACAACTATCGATAGAGGAAAATACTAACGAAGCTTTGAAAACATTGGCAGACCTGGGAGTCTTTTGCCACTCAGCTGATAGTTTAATGAAAGGTGTTACTCTGACCATCCAGAAAGTTTACTACTGCAAGATTCACCGGAATTAAGTTCACACTTCTTGCATTTTCTCAAAAGCCTAAATAAAAGAAAGGCCTATTTTGTCTTCATCCAGCCTAATGGACACCCGATCAAATCGTTTTCCCGTTAAAGCTGCGGCTTATCAGCAGGGAAAAAAACATGTAACAAATCACCTGTAGAAGTAGACTGGGTTGATGTCTCAATTTATAAGCAGTCTAAAATTGTAAAATTACATTTTGGGAAATGTAAAAGATAAAATGGCGGGTAATACTGCTACCCTGAGATAAACAGCATTAACATTTTGGAGTATTTCTTTCTAGTCTTTGTAAGTTATCATTAAAGATGTCATTTTTAACACTGTTTGAAGACACTTAAAGCTCTCTGCTTAAAATGTTTAGTAAAATGAAGGAATTTATGTCAGCATCAGCCTAATTCTATTTTGACAATAAATTCTTACCTTTATAAATGCAGTTGCAAAATTAAACACGATGTAAACATTAGAGAATGTCCAAAACAATAATTGCCAGTTTAGTATAGCCCTGAATGTTTGTCATTCAAGAAGTTTTTCTTTTTTAATGATACCTGTATGAAGATGTGTATTTTTTCACATGGAAAAGAAGCAGAATTAATTTTAATACATATAGAAATTGGGAAAGTGATTGAATTGAAATATATATAGAAATTGGGAAAATGATTGAATTGATTAAATGTCCACCTAATTAAGAACAGAAGTTTGATTTTGAAATAAAATTAGCAAAATTATAATTGGAAAATATTTTATCTTAATCAGACTTTATCATTTAAACTGTATTTTGTTTAGAAGCTATTAATGTATTTTTATTCAGATGTAAAATGGCTGGCTTATTTATGTAGAATATCTTTAAAGTCTTTACAGGTTTCAAAAGTTTCAAAAAATATACTGCTGTGTTTTTATTTTATTTATAAAAGAAAAACATTACTTAAAGAATCAATGCTGAAAGATTGTAGGGATAGATTTTTCTGTCTAAGCACTTCATTTTATATGTGAAAAAACTATGAACCCAGATTCAGGAATGACAACTTATGTACAAATAATTCCAGTGTTTTCCAATATAATCTCCAAACCTCAAAACTCTCCCTACATATTTGAAATATTGGTTTCTCAAATTTCCTAGGAAATACTTTGAAATAATTCTGATTACAAATATGTTGGAATTGCTTGTTTGGGGAAAGTGAAGTGAAGTTCCTTTTTTATTTTTTTCTAAATTAAAATATCCACTCCATTTATTTTGAGATTTCTTAACAGTCTCTAAGAACTGTTATGCTTGGGGTGGGCATTTGACACATTGAGTTAGATACTGCTTGGGATGCCTTCCTATCCCATTTCAGGGTGACTGGTTGAATCCCTGTTCTACTTCCATTCCATTTTGTATACAATATGTGGATACTACACAGATGGAAGGTCTCAGGAAAAAAAATGAAGTTGATTCTTAATAGTGTTTTATGTCTACACTGGTTACAATTTTACTTTTACAAATGTGTTATAGTGACATTTTCTTCAATATTTTACTTCTCAGGTTTTAGAATTGGAACAGACACATCATTTTTATTTTGGTAAACTTAAAAGTTCAGGATTAACTTAAAAGAAGCAGTTAATTAGATAAGTAAAGGATCAAGGATTAAATGAACAAAATGTAGTTGTAATTAGCAACTTAAAAGTTTTCCAGGGCAATATTTAAGATAAATAGACCTTTAAGCTTCAAAATGAGAAATGTATTAGATGTTTCTCTACTAGATAAAATAACTTCTTGAAAGAAAAATAACAATTCACAAATCTCCTTGGATAAGATATACTTTTTTTTTTAAAGATTTATTTATTTTATTAAAAGAGTTACAGATAGGCAGAGGCAGAGAGAGAGAGTTCTTCCATTCGCTGGTTCACTCCCCAGATGGCCGCAACGGCCAGAGCTGTGCCAATCTGAAGCCAGGAGCTTCTTGTGGGTTTCCCACATGGGTGCAGGGCCCAAGCACTTGAGTCATCTTCCACTGCTTTCCCAGGCCATACAGAGAGCTGGATTGGAAGTGGAGCAGCTGAGACTCAAATCATTGCCCGTATGGCATGCCAACACTGCAGGTAGAGGCTTTACCCGCTACGCCACAGCACTGGCTCCAAGAAAAACTTCTGTTGTGGACTACAAATACTTTTATTTTTTTTAGTTTTAAAGATTTATTTATTTTGAAAGAGTTACTTAGAGGGAGAGACCAAGATAGATTGATCTTCCTTCCACTGCTTTACTACCCAGATGACTTCAATGGCCAGTGCTGGGCCAGTAGCTCCATCCAGGTCTCCCCTGTTGGTGGCAGGGGCCTGAACACTTGGGCCATCTTCCATTGCTTTTCCCAGGCCACTAGCAGAGAGCTGGACTGGAAGTGGACCAGCCAGGACACGAACTGGGACCCAAATGGGATACTGGTATAGCAGGCTCTTGTGTTATCCACTACACCACAAGGCCAGTGAGTACTTTTTTTTTTTTTTAAGATTGATTTATTTATTTGAAAGGCATCTATCTATCTATCTATCTTCCATCCACTCGTTCACTGCCCAAATGTCTGAAACAACCAGAGCTGTGCCAGGCCAATGCCAGGAACTTCTGGCTCTCCTATATGGATGCAGGGGCCCAGGGACTTGGGCCATCTTCCGCTGCTTTTGCGGGCACATTAGCAGGGAGCTGCACTGGAAGTGGAGCAGCAGGGACACGAACCAATGCCCACATAGGATGCCAGCACTGCAGGCCACAGCTTAACCTATTGTGTCACACCCCAGCTCCCACAAATACTTTTTTTTAAAAAGATCTTTTGGGACAGGTGTTGTGATGTAGCGGGTTAAGCCCTGCTTAGGATTCCTGCACCCATATCAGAGTGTTGGTTCATATCTCAGCTACTTTGCTCCAATGCTAGTTGCCTACTAATATGCTTGGGATGATGGCTCAAGTACTTGAGTTCCTGCCACCCGTGTAGGAGACACAGATGGAATCCCCGGCTTCATCCTGGCCCAACCCTGGCTGTTGCAGGCATGTAGGGAATGAACCAGTGATGGAAAATCTCAATCTCTCTCTCTCTTTCTTTCATCTGTCATTCTAATTAATATAGAAATCTTTTTTAAAAGAACCATTGAATAAACAATTTTGTTTCAACCTATTAAGCCTCAATAATCAATAATAAATTCATATAATACTTTTAGAACCATTTTTGCTGAATTAGCTTATTACCTGTCAATAAAAAAATTTGGAACCTTCAATTACTACTATAAAAATAATGTATGTTGGGGCTGGCTTTATGGTGTAGCTGGTAAAGCCACTGCCTGCAGCGCCAGCATCTTCTTTGGGCGCTGGTTCTTGTCTTAGCTGCTCTACTTCTGATCCAGCTCCCTGCTAATGACCTGGGAAAGCAGTGGATAAGATGGCCCAAATATTTGGGCCCTTGCCACCCAACTGGGAGACCTGGAAGAAGCCCCTGGCTTCAGCCTGGCCTAGCCCTAGCCATTGCAACCAGTTGGGGAGTGAACCAGCTGATGGAAGATCCCTCCCTCCCTCCCTCCCTTCCTCCCTTCCTCCCTTCCTCCCACTCCCACTTTCTCTCCCTCCCTCTCTATAACTTTGATTTTCAAATAAATAAATCGATTTTTTGGAATGCCCTATGTTTTGCTCCTTTCCTTAAATTTAAATATTCCCAAGAGATTAAAATATTTTCTAGTGACAGAAACTTAGGATTTCTGAAATGATGAGGGCTTTTTAAAAATAGATGTTGATAACTTTGAAATAACTTGCAAATAAAAAATTTACAGGGGCAGGTGTTTGCTGCTGCACGTAGTTTACTTTTTGGGACATCCACATCCCATGTCACAGTGCCTAGTTTGAGTCCTGGTTCCTCTGCTTCTGATCCTGATGATCATTCCTGATGATGCTTACCCTAGGAGGGACTAGGTCAGTACTTAGGTCCTTTGCCACTCATGTGGGA